GATCGTACTTGGTTATTAATGAAATCTAAAGAATTGAGTTATATAGCAATTGAGATGATTTATACTATTGGGATGCCATAAAACTGATGAAAACTAAAAATAGAGCACATTTACAAATGATTGTTAGTAAATTTGCTGTATTCAAATAATAAGTTGATGATGAGTCGTCTAAGGCGAATATATAACTTAAGAATAATGATATATTACTATTGAATACATAAAATGATTTATATTTTATTTTTACTTTATTCAGAATATATCATTATTCATTATTAACTTGAAGAGTCTTCTAAAATAATAAATATTTTATTAATAATGATCTGTCTCTATATTTCTAGTCCTCTTAGAATATTGTAATTAACATTGACAAAAAATTCCAACATGCTGTATAGATTTAAATTTAAATATCTAAAATATATTTGATAATGTTGAAAATAGAATATAAATTTAGGTAACCAAAAAAAATATTAAGAAAAATTCAGAAAATTAACTCATAAATATATTTTAATTGAACAATAGAATGCTAAAAAATCAATATACTAATTAGCAAGCTGTAAAATAACATAAGGAATACAAAGTTATAGTTATAGTTTTTAAATTCACAATTAAAAGGACAGATAATTAAGAATTCATATATTAATGTTATCAAAAAGATTTGACTATTTTTATATATTTTATTTAAAGGCTACAAAATTGGTCATCAAAATAGAGTATTAGATTAAAGTTACTCAAGCCAACTCTAGAAGGGCATGAAAAGCTTTAAAGATCAAACCAATAAAACAAATGCAATAATAAAAGTGATCCTAAAAAGAAATTTTTTAGAGCGCTTTCATAATCACAAAATGCTTCTTAGCAGATTGTATAAAATCTTCGAAGCAGATTATTTAAATGCCCTAAGAGTAAAATTTGATAAACTTTTCAATTCATAATACAAGTATTTTATATTAATAAAATAGCTCCATCTTTAATTCACATTGATCATCCTACTTCTTCTGAATTATATTAAAACACTATAGATTTAGACCTTTATCTATTTAATTCGTTTTAACAAAGACCAATTTTACGATAGAAATGTTGGACCTTAGCATTCAAGAAAAAAAGAAAAGTCAATATTGGTCAATTTTATGAACTGAAATAATCATTAGAAAAGGACTAAATTTATAATGTTTAGTAAAACAGGTGTAGATTCAATATGAATGATTATTATAAACTCAATTTGTTATCATATTGTATTATTAGACATTAATTATGATTTTTACTTATTCAATAATTTTTTGATACATAATCGAAGTAAGATTAATATTCCAACATCGTGTATAATTAGATACATTTTCTTTTAATTGATTTTCTTAATTTCTTAAAAACTGTTAAGAACAAATAATTCGATATCATAAAAGTAAAATCCAATTTTTATATAATCCCCAAAATAAATCAAAAATAAAAGTTTTATTTGAAGATTAGTCATAAATTATAATCCCTAGTTTGAATTAAAGTATAAAAACTTGAATTTTTAATTCTATTTATTAGTATTAATTCTAATATCAATAGTTAATATATTCATCATTATAGAATCTAAAACTTTAAGATAATTAATGTATACTTTCAGAAACTCTCTGTAAAATCCTTTATTTATTGTAAATTTCTTTTTTACTAAGAATGTCTAAAAATTTTTGGATAAATAAAAATGTGTTAACGATAAAAAGTAATTATTAGTAATCATTGATATTCTTAATTTTTAATAAAATTTTCATATTTTATTCCTCTTAAATAGTGAATATAATTTAGAACAATTTATTCATATTAGATTGATTTTTATAATTACTTTTTATCGTTA